CAATGTAAAATATGCATTTCTCCTGATATCCAAACTCTTCAAGCACAAAATGAAATTCTCAAAGGTACTATAAATATCATAACAACTCAAAAAAAAAAAAAAAAAAAAAACCACCAAACACCCATTTAGATCAAATAAAAAGTCCAACAACAATAAACTCAAAAATAATTTCTTCTAGCAGGAAAACCAAATACCAACATAACAATCTTACAAAGTAACCAAGGAAAAATCACTTGAAGGAATGATAACCAAGTTGTAGCAAAATAATTGTGATAACACTATTGTCGTGAATTATTGCATACGAGCCATATTTGAAATATTACATGTTCTGTAAATATTAGATGACGATATAGATGCTACAAAAAGAACTTCAAACTAACATGTTAAATTTGACAGAGTTTTGATTGAAAGGACAACGTCTGAACAATGCCAGAGATGATTCTAGGGTTCGAGAGAAAAGAGTGGATTTAGAGAGGATTTCACAATTTAGAATATTCTGCTTAATATTGAGAGTAAGGGACGAAATGGGCTATTGATTGTATAATTAAGTGTTAATATATCAGTGAAAGTGTTAAAACGGTTTCACTTTTTGGCTTTCTTAAATCTTAAAAATTATATATATTTTTAATATAAATTTGTTTATATGTTTTATATTTCTAATTTGGGACTTTTTTTAATAGAAAGAATATTTTTTTTTATATCTTTTAACTTTTTGTTACTGCTTAATAAGTGTAACAAATGTATTTAGAACACCATATTATATTATTTGTAGTTCTTACAGATAAATTATCGAAACAAAAAAAAGTTGATCAAACGAATAATCCTCACGACATATTTTGTACAAAATGTACCAGTTTCTACCAACTTATTGTTACTAATGGCCAATGTTCTAGTAGCGATCTCCCATATGATAAACTTAAGACAGATTTATTTATTCAATTATTTATTGTTTTTAGAAAAATAATAACATAGAGGCGTAAGAAAATACTCTAGTCTGAAGAAACTTGCATGTGTAGGACCATCTCCAATCGAGCACCATAAATGGCACTCGAGAGATTGATATAGCGTGGATTGGCTCTAACCCTCACCATATCCGACGCCAAAAATTAGCCAACATTGGTTTTGCCCTATTATTATTTTTTTCTTTTTTTTATTATTTAATTTCAATATTTGTCCCTACTATAATTATGAATGAACCAATCTATAACTTTTATATTTCAATTTTGTATATTTGTAGTTTTTGTTATTGACGAGTGAATAAAATTTATAATTTTTAAATTTTTTATAATCCAAATTATGTATTCAATGTATTTAAGTTTTACAGTAAATAATTATAATATTTTTATTCAAATTATAAGTAATTTTTATAACAAAAAGTCATGTAATCTTTTTATGTAAACATATATATTACTCTTTCTGTCCTAACAACTCTATCTATGTTATCGTAAACGTGGGAATTTAAGAGGAATATAATTAGTAAATAATTATAAATGTATTATTGAAAGTAATTATTGTATAATTAAAATAATTATATTTAAGATTAACACAACTAATTATTTTAATTAAAATTTTAAAAATTATAAACTAAAAAAGTAATATGAGATTAAAGTGTATAATTTTTTTTCAAAAAGAAAAATAACATGCGATATGGAACATACATAAATGGTAAGATGAACACGACAAATGAGATGTAATTTGTAAGTAACAATAAATAATTATGTAAGTAATAGTAAAAAAAAATTCTTTTTTAGAAAGAACTTAAATTATATCAATTAAAATACATGACGGCCCAGTGGCCCACCAAATAAGATACAAAGAGGCTTCATGTAACATACTGCCTAACAAACCTAAGGGCCCAAGAAGGCCAATTCAAAAGTGAGCTTGAACTAAAAGTAAAAACTAGGACCGCTCCTAAAAAAAGGCCCAACCTAGCTAATCTAACCCAAGCAAAGAAAAATACTTTCATAAACAACCCAAATGAATCGGTCAATATTAACAAACGCTACACTATATTTACATATTAGCATAAAATAAGGAAACAAAACCTCAACCCCTGTATGGACGATAATGGCAACCATGCAATTGCATCTCCTCAAACATGACATTGTGCAAAATGAATAGGCCATACAATGCATTTGAACCGGAAGCAATGAAGTTCAAGTTGGTCGACAACAATGATCTCTTTAAGTTGACCTATTATTTTAGGGGGTTCCAAGATTCGATATGTGTTCGAAACAGAGGCATGAGTGGCATGCCAATTCGCCGCTCGATTACCTTCCCTATAAATATGAGAAACTTTCCATTCCAGGCTGTTGAGGTAAATTTTAATTCGAAAGATAAGATGTGGTAGCTCCCATTTCCGTGATGGTGTTTAGCGTGACGAAAGAGGCTGATGCATGTTATTGCGTCTGTTTCAATCCATATTGTTCGAAGATCCCTTCCCATTGCCAATCGAGGCCTCTCCATATTGCATCGAGTTCTGCATGAGTGTTAGGGTATAGTTGAGGTGCTCCTAGAAAGAAACAACGGTGCAGTCATTGTGATCTCTCATGAGTCCACTTGCTCCTGCTACACCTGAGTTTCCACGTGCAACACCATCCGTATTGAGCTTGTACCACCCAATACTTGGTTTTTGCCAACAAACAATCTGAGGAGCCCTCTTCATTGGGGGTGTTTGAGGAATGCTGAGTTGAGCAGCAAAGAGAAGATCCCCGAGCTAGTACTCATGTTTCCACTTCTTAGTAAACTGAAGAGTTTGTAGGTGGTACATCAATTTCTAGATGATCCTGTTACAAGATAAATTAGTAGCTCGGTGCTTTGCATCATTTCATTCAGTCTAAATGAACTAAAGGATCAATATAGGAATGATGGTTCTCACATGAATCTTTTGTGATCAAGAACAATAAACTTTTCAGTAAACAAACATTTGGTGAATAAAAGGGGTATTTTCAGGTTGTTATCGGAAAAATGATAGAAGTACCTCCAAACATTTGATTATTCCGCCCCTGATGTGAAGAGATTCTCCACCGACTCAACTCCCCAACAACATTGACATTTAGAAGCAAGAGAAATATTAATAGTGAATTTTTCCAAAAAAAAAAAAAGGCCAAAGAAACACAGACATAGTTGAAGTTAAGAGAGGGAACCATATTTGACTAAATAACATGTTTCTATGAGACACTCTACAAATACAATTCCAAATAGAGGAAATATAAAAACGGCTTGTAGGCGAATCTTTCCATATTATAACATCAGGGGCTAAATTGATTGGAGCCGTAGAAATAGTATCAATCAGGTGGTTGGGACTGTCTAATAATAAAAGGGTCAAATTCCAGGTGTTGCCGTACCAGTAATTTTGAACAGAAACATGTGGCTTTCTTCCATCAACTAAAGTCGCCAATGGTTGTTCACCACGTCAGTGGTCATGCCAAAATGAGCACTTCCCTTCCCCAAGAATCAAAAAGGTTTTCCGCTGAGCCTCCTCCCTTATGTTACACATTCTTTTCCAACACACGTTGTCGCAAACTTTAATTTGAGTGTTTCTCAGGAAATATCCCCGATAATACTTATGTGCCGTAATATCAAAAGTTGAGTGTGAATTGCACATATAAAAAACAAATTTAAAATAATATATAAAATAGAATATTTGAAGATTATTCTTTTTAATGTTAAAAATAGAATTTTAAATTGAAGTAAAAAAATACTACAACAATTGCATTTTTTTGAGTTAAAATTGTATAAATAGAATGTGAGAATTGAAAATGACCAAAGTGCCTACTCACAAAATACATACAAATTTATATATGCTTATAATAATAGATATTGTGTAATAATCTTGCAAGGGTGGGTCGTAATATCTGGATGAGAATATTCGTAATACAAAATAGCAGTACTCTTCCGACAAATTTGTTTGGAGTCTTTTTTTTATACTCCTGAAATAGGACCAATGTTAGGTTAACTGTCATGTGTGAATGAGCCAGTGTTAGACAATCTGAGATTGAATAGAGATTAAGTGGATTGAATAGACTACTCATGTCAACAATATGCATTTTCTTTTTCGGGAGCCTTACTGAAAGAACTTTTAAGTTAATCGTGTCTGCTCTAGAGTAATTTGAGGATGAGTGATCTCCTCGGAAGTCTCCTAGAGTGCGCATGAATGAGGACAACATGCTAGAAGGACTTGTGTTAACTTCTAAGGTCAGTCTAATCCCGACACGTCCGGTCTGCGTGGTAGACCCATACAACTACCCGTAGTCTTTGACTGAAATGTTGAGAAGCTTAGCAATTGATGGATCGTTGGGATGTAAGTGGACGTTGCATTCTCAAGTGGAGAAAGATATGATACTTCAAAATTGGGCCGGTGGGGCTAGTAGTGGAAGCCGTTGATGAATCCTTAGGGATGCAACGTGAACGTTACATTCTAAGTGGGAGAGGATATAATACTACCGGAGTTGGGCCGGTCCTAGGCCAACTCAAGCCGATGCTAGGCCAACTTTCGTCTCTAGCTCTATAATTAAGCCCGCTTGAAGGACTTGTGGGTCCAACTTAATTTCGACACGTCTGGTCTAGTGGCTTGCGGAACGGGCGTTATACGTTTTAGTTCCCTTTACAAATTTTTAAAATTTTAAAAAATAAAAAAATAATATTTCTTCCGTATCTAAATTTATTTATTTATTTATTTATTTATTTTTATGTTAATTTTATATTATTATTATAGTATTTGAAAAAAAAAATGCATCTAACTTCTATCATTAATATAAATTTTATTTACAATAAATTACTATCATTATTATAATTTTTTTTATTAATTATTAAATTTTAAAAAATACTGAAAGTATTCTTTTACTTTTCCTATTGTTTAATCTTCGTCAAGAGTCAAATGTGCTAAAGATGACCAATGCAATAAATACAAATTAAATGTTAGATATAATATTTTTTTCAAAATATTATTGATGAATAAGAAAGTCTCTAGATATTTGGACGGCAAAGGAACGTTGATTTTACCAATGTGAATTGACTTGGAGCCGTACTATTTAAATCCAGGCCAAAACAGGCCAAGTAGACTGTCGCCACAAACATTTCTTGTCGTCTTCAAATCAAATCCATCCAATTTTCATCCATGGCTGGAGCAACAAAGAGGTAAGCCTACAAAATCTCTTGCATAATCTTTTTCTTACATTACACGATGGTATCGAATCGAACCAATAAGCCTATTACGGTCGCGCTCGCAGGTATGCAGTTGTCACCGGTGCGAACAAGGGGCTCGGTCTTGAGATATGTCGGCAGCTGGCGTCTCAGGGCATCACGGTGGTGCTGACATCTCGGGACGAAAACAGAGGCCTTCAAGCAGTCGAGAAACTCACTGCGTCTGGCCTTTCCGATCATGTCATTTTTCATCGACTAGATGTGGCCGAGGAGGATTCAGCAACTGCCCTGTCTGAATTCATCAAGTCCCAATTTGGAAAGCTCGATATCTTGGTACAGCCTAAATTTAGAATTCCCCCCTTAATAGTTCGGACATATAGATCTTTGTTGACAAAGCTCTGCAGGTTAACAATGCAGCAGTAACCGGATCCGACATCAATTGGGAGCTTCTAGACCCGACCAGGGATCAGGGCGCGACTGGTGCTCTTTCAGTAAGTTCATATGTGCAATAACCACATCGCGTAAAATTTATGTCCTAAAACGACGACATCTCTTGTCATTGCAGGCGGGCAAAGTTGATCATATAGATTGGAGTGGCGTTGCAAATGCTACCTATGACTTAGTGGCGCAAGCGATTCAAACGAACTACTATGGTACCATAAAGACTACAAAAGCTCTTCTCCCACTTCTAAGTCTCTCCAACTCCCCAAGAATCGTAAATATATCCTCTATAGCGGCGAAGCTTGAGGTAACCTGTTATATATCGCCAACATCATCGTCAAGTTTCAAAACTCAATTTTATTTTTTTTTTGTTTTTGTTTTTAGCACATACCGAGCGAATGGGCGAAAGGGATCTTGAGCAACGAGGAAAACTTGACGGAAGAGAGAATCGACAAAGTTGTGAGTGAGTTTGTTGAAGATTTCAAAGAAGGGAGAGTTAAAGCCAAAGGTTGGCCTAATTATATGGGTGCATACATAGTCTCTAAGGCGGCCATAAATGCCTACACAAAGCTTCTTGCTAAGCAATACCCGACCTTTCGGATAAACTCCGTGTGCCCGGGTTACATAAAAACTGATATGAACAACCACACAGGGACAGTGCCGGTGAATGAAGGCGCTGCCGGCCCTGTGAAGCTTGCATTGCTTCCGGATGACGGCCCTTCCGGATGCTTCTTTGTCGACAAGGATCTCCCTGAGCTCTAAGGCCGTATACTCTATGTTGAACTTTTCTTTTGTTTTTTTGTTATCCCACATATTCACACAACACACCACCCATTCGGGATCAAATCTGAAACCTTGTTTTCAAGGTTTGACTATGTCCAACTTGTTATATTTTCACTTGGATTTTGTTTTTTTGGTATACACGCGTGTCATATGTGCATGCTTTGAAAGTCAAATCGTGAATGGCAAATGTCATGCAATATTGGTCAACTATTGACGACCAATTGTGAGAGATCTTTACCTGCAAATAGACATAATTGCATTCAATGGCGCGGACTGACTAGGGGGCAAGGGTGGACTCACAGCCCCAACTGCCCCACCCCCTAAATATTTGAAATTAACAAAAACAAATATATATATATATATATGTAAAATATAAAGTATTGAATTTATTTTACTTTTCAAAATATTTTTTAAAAAAAAAAATTAATATATTATATATTTTTATTATTTTATATTATATACATATTTCTCTATATCTTACAAGAAAAAGTATTAATCATTTTAGAAAAACAAATGCACTCTACAGTATATGGCTATAATATATAGAGATTAATAGTTTTTTAATTTATTATTTTACAATATAATAAAAATAAAATCTACATTATTTTAGAAATAAAAATTTATTTTATAACTTTTAGAAAATTTGAACCCCTCTAAGTTTAGTCTAGTTTAGCTACGGTTAGATGAATGAAAACATTCTAGATTCGTATAACATTTTAGTTCAACTCAAAATATCTGTTTTTTATGTTAAAAAGAAGTAATAGTACATTAATATTAAAATATATTTTAACTTTTACTACAATCATATCATTTAATATACAATTACTTTGTACATAAAGAGTAAAAATGTTAAAACTTTTTATTCATTTCTATTAATCGGTAAAATACTATTATTTCTTAATCTACTACAAAATTCCAAAGAACCTCTTTGAATTGGACCGGAAAGAGTATATATTGTACATCTATAAATATACTCTCAGTCTCAATTAATAGTTTTATTTTAACATTTGTGTATGTTTCAAAATAAAAGTTTTATTTTCAAAAATAATCATATCACTATACAATTATTTTAACTTTGTCGTTATTATTATATAAATGTAATTATTTTTTACACTTTAATTACAAAAAAACACTCAAAAAAGCAAAAAAAGTTTTTCACCCATATTTTCGAGCTACGAAATAACAATATAATATAAAAAATTTTTTAAATGTCGTGCTCAAGATGAATATGCCTATTCTTCCGGAACAGAGTGAGTATTTTATTTGTACAGACACACACATTTTTAATATGCTACATATTGTATATATATATATATATATAAAGAGATCGGTGTTGGGTTCATTCCATCAAATTTTTTTTTTTAATATTTTTTAATATTTTGATTTTTTAATAAAATAAAATAAATGTGTATTAAATGCTATTAAGTATATTATAATTGATAAAACTAAAATTAATACATTTTTAAAGATAAAAAAATAATTGATTTAATTTTATAATTAAAGTAAATTATAATTTTGTCTATTTATACCCTAATTAAGGGTGGTGAAAATGTAATAATTTTGTAATACTCCCTCTCCCTCTGTCATGTAAATGTATGCTCATTTGACCGGGCACGAGTTTTAATAAAAGTGAATAATAATTGTTATTTTTTTTTATAGTAAAAAAAAGTACAAAAATACAATAATTTTCTTTTATAGATTTGAATGATGGAGTCCGTCGTTCACATCTATGTTCAGTTTTCTTTTTTGATTGTTATCGAAAAATATTCTCGTTTCTTTTTTGCGTCCGTCATTCAAATCTATGCTCACTTTCCTTTTTGGGTTGTCATCGAAAAATATTCTTGTTTCCTTTTTAAGTAGAAAATTATTATATTTTTGTACCTTTTTTTACTATAAAAGAAAAAGAAATCATTATTACTCACTTTTATTAATGTAATATCTTCTTAATCTTTATTTAAACCCGTAATTAATGTTTAATGAAATTTTCCAAATTTTTCATTATAATTGATATTAAATAATTATATTAATTGATATAGTTATAATTGTTATAATTAATGAAATTATAATTAATAAATGTATTTATGAAAAGCTAAAAATTATTATTATTATTATTATTATTATTATTATTATTATATAAAAGATCAGTGTCAAGTCCATTATATCATATCTTTTCTGTCATTTTTTTATGTTTTCTAATAAAATTGGATTCAATCTATCATATCTTTTTTTGTCATTTTTTTACTTTTGTAATAAAATAATATTTATTAAATGCTATTAAGTATATCATAATTAATAAAATTATAATTAACACATTTTTTTAAGATAATAAGAAAATTTATTTAAATATTATGATTAAAGTAAATTATAATATAATTTTATGTTCATTTTATATCCCTATTTAAGAATAATGAAAATTTAATATTTTTGGACTCTAATGCTAATTAGATTAATAATCAATAAAATTAAAAATAAGTCATTATATTTTCTAATTCTAATATATATATATATATATTTATAAAAGTCAGTAAGTCTCGTAATTTTATAATTATTTTTTTATTTTTAAAATTCTGAAATATTTTAAAATTAATGCAATAATTTTTTAGTTTTTATTTATACTGAATAATTAAATTTTACTAATTTTTCAGTGTAATTATTTTACCATTATATATACTTGTCATTATAATTTGAAATATATTTTAATTATATATATAAAAATAAACTCATATCAATTTATCTTCTTTTTTTTTTTTTCATTTCTTACTTTTAGTAAAATAAATTTATATTAAATATTTATAATATACTCCCTCCGTCCACTTTAAAGGTTTACGTATACTTCTTGTGTGTTGATATTTGAATATTAATTATTATATCAAAATATAGTAAAAATTAAGTAAAAATGACAAAAATATTTCTATTAGTGTCTTACAATACAAATATAATGACATTTGTATAAAAATTTATACAATATAATGATATTTTTAACATTAAGTATAATAACGCAGAAGGTAAATGTAAACTTTCAAAGTGACGGATGAAATATATACTATAATAATATACTTGACAAAATTATAATTAACACAATCAATGTATAATTTGATAATATAATATAATATATATGTATAGAATACTTCTTTTATTTTAAAATTAATAATTGATTTTATTTTATAATTACTTTATGTACTACTATATTTTAATTTTTTTTATTTATCTTTCTAAAAAAAAGAATATCTAACTCATACCATTTTTTTTTTCTCATTATTGATTATTTAATAAAATAAATTTATGCTATTAAATCAAATATTCATAATTAATATACTATAATAATATACTTAATAAAATTATTACTATTATTATTATTATTATTATTATTATTATTATTATTATTATTATTATTATTATTATTATTATCTTGTTATTATTATTATACTCTCATTTTAATTTTTTTCTTATTTTTTGTATTTTTTATTATTTCTAAAATTGATATGATATTTTTTTATTTTCATTTAAATATACTATTAGTGATAATTATAATACTAATTTATATATTAAAAATAAATTACTATTATTTCTAAAAAAAATTTAAAACTAATTTGATATTTGTTTTAGTTCTAATTAAAATATTTAATTAATGTTAATTATATTCATAATTAATAATTTTGAAATTTTTTATAACTAATTAAAAAAAATTAAACATAAAATTTAATTATAATTATATTTGTAATTAGCACATATCTTTTTTTTCTTTTTATTTATTTTTTAATAAAAATATATATTCTAACTATTTATAATTAATGCATTACAACTTAATTATTATCAATTATTATTATTATTATTATATCTAATATATTACAATTAAATAATATTTTTTAAAATATAAATAAATTCATTATAAATAAAATTAATTCTGACGTTTATGATTGAAGGTTACCGAATATTAAAGACGTCGATTACAATTAATTAACTTCAGCATTAATGACGAATTTGATGACAATTCTCGTTTGAATGTCTATAAAAGACCATATCTTCACTCTCATTTCAATCACACATCAATTTAGCTCTCATCCTCTCAATTTTTCTCATTTTTCGGCAATATTTTTTCGGCGAGTTTTCGGTTAATATTTTAGTAACGTTTCTTTCTCTTAGCAACCCAATATAGTTTTTTTTTTTTTTTTTCCACATTTTCATCATCGAAGTTCCAAAATATTGAGGTGTCACCTAATCCGAAGATGATGCGTCGTTTTAATATATACTTTACTTATACTATTTTATTTTATTTTTATTTTGTATTGTATATAAATAATTTCATATATTTTTGGGTTTACAAAAATTTTGTGTTATTTATTTTTAGGTAATTGATATGTTAGTTATATTTAATAATAAAATTAAAATAAAAAATTAATTTATTTTTATTTATAATATTAATTATATTTAATGATGGTTGGTCACCGATTATTTTGCCTCAGGTATTGATTGTCCCGACGCGCAAAATCATTTCCTCATCCAATTTCAAATACACTTCAACCTCCTTTCTTCTCTATTTTTTGGAAATATTTTCCCCGTGAGTTTTTGGTCAATCTTTGGCCCTTAGCTATCCAATAGAGTTTTTTTCCATTCATTTTAGTTTCTTAGAGTTCCAAAATATTTAGCTTATACTTAATCCAAAGATGATACAATATTTAAAGTATAATTTACTTATAATATTTAATTTTGGTATTGTTTTGTACTTTGTAAATAATTTAATATAACTTTTTTTTGTATTATAAATATTTTTGTATTATTTATTTTTAAATAATTTCTATTTAATAATACCATTAAAATAAAATTGATTTACTTTTATTTATAATATATATATATATTATATTATTCATATTTTTATATTAATATTAGATTTTTTTGGTTTATGCTAAATAAAAATATAAATATTGATGATTTAATGAAACTTATATAATTTTATTCAAAATATTTGTGTATATATAAGTTTTCAATAGATATATACTATTTTATTTTATTTTATTTTATTTTATTTTTGATATTTTTATTAGAATAAATTTATATCAAATATCCATAATTAATATACAATAATTAACGTATTTAACAAAACTATAACTTACACAATCAATAAATAATTTTTATATATA